GGGGATGGAAGTGGCTTGTAAATGCACAGTAGCAGCAAGAAAGGTATTTCCAAAATATGCTGGACATCTAGAGAGAGACCTTCAGTCCCTTGGACCTCTTGGCAGCAGACTGCACGCCGTGACCAGGGCTGTCAGTGCCACACAGCAGTCATGGCTGAATGCTACTTGTCCTGGACAGGACCAGGACAAGCAGCGGATGACAGGAGAGCCACAGGCATGTTTTGTGTGATGGATACAACCAGTGCTTTGCAGGCGGGTGCCCACGGTTTTCCAGCAGGTGAACTGCGTTTAGAAACCTCTGACAAAGTGCCCTCAGAGGGCTTGTTGGGCTGGCGCTTTGTTGGTTTGAGGCCATTTCAAGGGAGGCTTCTGTAGAGTGATTTTATCGTGGTCCAGATCGTATTTGGAGCTCAGACCTGCTGGCCAGAGCACTGTGCTGGAGACCTGGATTCATTTACTGGGATTCTTCTCCTGTTGGGAGATTTTGGGGAAAGTTTCTTTTTCCTGCTCTCCCTTGTCTTGCCAGTGGACAAACCACGTACTGCTTTAATAGGACCAGTGCAGGGGGGTGATGGCAGATGCTGTGATTGTGGCTAAAGCCTACTGCAGGGAGCACATGTGGGCTGGCTGACACCAGCTATAGCAACCATTGCTCTGAAATGCCTGGCTGGGAGATGTGACCATTTCACCCCTTGCGTTGTATTAGTGTAACCTTTAGCATGTGATTCCCTCTTGGTAGGGCTAGCAGAGGCAAGGGCTGGCCTTGGTGAGGCTGCTCTTGGGGCTTTTATGCATGCACCCCCATGCGTTCCCCAGAGACCTCCCTTGGCAGGGAGCTGTATGTGGGTGGGTAAAACATGTCCTGCCACCGTGTTCTCTGCCAGCTCTGTTCCCTGGCAGACATCACCGTTCATGCTGCACTGTTGGACGCTTGTGAGCTTGGGAGGGCACTGTAGCCAGCCCAAGGTGATACCTGCCCAAGGTGAAGACACCTGGGCTACCCAGATTTCACCATGCCAAAAAAAGCTTCTCCCAGCCCATGCGGTGACCTCTTACCTCAGGTACACAGGTCTGACCCTGCTGGGGGTTATCAGCTTTAGATAAGAGAAGGCCCTTGGTCTGCAAGGGCTCTTCTGGTCTGCAGCAGAGTCTGTCTCCTTGCCAGAAGCCACTGCCATGCCCCAGCTGAAGCCTCCCATAACGTGGGGGACGGGAACATGCTTGGCCAGGATAGCTGCTGACCTCCTGTCTTTCCTATTTCCTTCCAGTCCTGGACGCACAACATCCAGCGGGAAAAGGAGTTCCTGCGGAAGCTGGTGAAAGCCCGTGTCATCACTGACCTAACCAGTGGGATTTGAGTGGCTGGAGCCACTGCCTCCAAGGGAGGAGACGAAGATGCACGCTGCAGCTCTGGGAGCAAGCTGGCAGCCCCCTGCAAGAATCCCACCTCACCGAAGACACATGGAGATGCTCAGGTGCTCTGGGAAGAGCATTGCCTCTGCATTGCCAGTCTGCACGAGGGTTGCATCTGCTGCCTCCCCGCCTAGAGCTGGAAGGAGGTGGGCAAGGGGCTGAGTGGGCGGTTCTTGAACTCTGCATCGCAGACGGATCTTCTGTGTCCTGAATTGAACAGGAAAGACTCAGGAGAGAGAAGAAAGGTTTGTGAATAAAGCAATTTGTGCCAAATGGGAGGTGACGCTGCCCCAAGGCAGCAGTGCCTGAATGTACAAAGTATTATTTTTTAAAAGAAACTCTGCTGGAATCATACTAGAAATACCAAGGTGCCAGGCAAAGTCTGCTTGTGCACAGCCCTGTGAAAAGCCTGGCCTCTCCATGCTCCATCTGCGTTGTCACCGGCCTCAGACTTTTCCCCAGGAAAACAAATCCGTCCAAAACTTCGGTGTTGTTGGTGCTGCTATAATTCAAAGGGAGAATAATGGCTTTCCCTCATTCTCCACTTGGAGCTTATGGTTGGAGATGGGCATGGGTTTGTTTTTCTGCATTTTTCCTTGTTTCCCACATAGAGGTGGCAGCAGCAGCCACTTGGCTGCGTTTTCCATAGCCGTTTGCCCTGCTCTGCCTCTGCCCTGACCCCAAGGTGGAGCAGAGAGCTGATGGCTTTCGCTGCCTGCAGCAGACCCTCCCCACCTTCCTGCCTGTCATGGCTCTGAGGAGCCTGCCTCCTTGTGCTCAAGGCTTTCAGGCCTCTTCGTTTGTGCCTGCTGTGCAGGGCCCCCTTGGAGTCCATGCAGATTGGTGTCACTGTTTCTGGACAGCATCTCGCTTTATTTTTGTGGGGGAGAGGAGTAATTTATTGTTTGGAAGGAGGTCAGATCTTGCACAGAGATCTGAAGCTTTACAGTTTGAGGGCAGGCCACTGAAGATGTTTGTTTTATGTTCCAGACTTGATCATGTTCCCTATTTAAGCGTTGTGTGACCTCAGTGATGATGGAGCCTGCTGGCACGGGTGGGGGCCTGCTGGGAATCCTCACCCTCCGCTCGGCCCCTGCTCACTTCATTTCCAAGCTCCTCCCGTGCTGCTTGAGCACTGCTGCTCCTCCTGTCCTCAGGAGCACGTCCCTTCCTTTGCCGTCTTGGTCCCGAGATGCAATATTTGCACATTTCATTTGTATATGTATTTCAGAGGAGCTGGAATAAACTGAGCAACGTAGCCGAGTGTGAGGGCAGTGGGGTGGTCACATCCACCTGGAGAGTGTGGGCAGAAGGGGAATTGCAAGCGGAATGGTTACAGGTGGAAATCGGCTCCCACGCTCTCCTAGCCTGGAGCAGGATGGTCTGCACCCACAGGCACCATCCCAAGCCGAGTCCCTGTGTGTCGAGGCACCAGCATGCAGCCAGCGCTGGGGTCAGCGGAGGGGGAATCCCGGGGGGATGCTGGCTGGGCTCACGGTCCTGGCGCTGCATCTGACATAGCCTAAGCATTGCAGTCTGTCTTGCTCTGAGCTGCAGGAAGAACACGGCCCTAAGATGGACAAGGGATGCTCAGAGCAGGGCTCGCGTGGTTCCCCTGGGCTGCCTCTGCTCCCTCTGACTTGCTGGGGGCTGTGGCTCTGGGGTGGAGACCCCAGAGGGGATGTGCAGGAGGGGCAGGCAGTGACCCAGGCACAGGGCAGAGGAGCAAACTGTATGGAATGGTTTCAGACCAGGCTGCAGGCAGAGGCAGCTCTCAGGACATGCTGCTGGGTGTTGCCCGCAGACCGGCCTGGAACATGACCCTCAGGAGCCTTTCCGGCATGGTGTACCCATAGCCAAGGAGCTCGTTCAGGCGCAAGTCCTGTCCAGCTTCTGCTCGTGGATGCTGCCTGCCTTGTAGTCTGGGAGCAGCTCAAAGATTCTGCCTCTTCCGGAAGACAGATGCTGGAAGGCTCTCCCTTCCCTTTCCCCTTCCTATGTCCCTTCCCTGGTCCCTCAGGCCTCCCAAGCCAAATGGTCCCTTTCCCCCCCACTACATGCCTGCCCTGGCAGTGCCTCCCACCAGGATGCTCTGCAAGGTTTCCAGCAGGTTTTTGGGCAGGTAACTCATTTGAACATTCTCCCCCAATTTGCTTCTCCTGTTCAAGGAGCCCGGGGGACTGGATTTCCATAACTCTTGCCAGGCTCCACTCCCTTTGCAGTTCCTGTATGTCAGCCTGGACCTGGGACCATCATCCGTAGAGTCCCTGCCACAGTGGCAGTGGGGGTGCCTGGGCTGGACCTGGCTGGGGAAGGGTGGGCAACCCGGCCTCTGCCTTGGTGCTTGAACTGGGTCTTTAAGCAGCTGCTGTGGGAGCCCTGGGGGGTGATGGGCAGCACCCGTATGCTACAGTAAGCTGAGATGCCAGAGAGCGGGCAGCCGCAGCCAGGAGGAGGAGGAAGGGGATGAAGAGCCTTCAGTGTCTGTGCTGGGCTCCTCTCCACCCCCTGGGGAAGCACTCCCATGGAGGCTTGTGATGGCACTAATTTGATTTAGTCCATTTTATAGAGCACTACAAAGCTACAGAGCACTTTTATCTTCCAGCTCACTGGCTGCAGGTCCATGGAGGGAGCATGGCCCCTGCTCGGCTTTCCCTGGCATCCCAGCTCCCCACCACCGCCAGGGACAGGTCCTGATGGGAAGCTGTCCCTGCAGACCAGCAGAGGTGACTCCAAGCCCTTCCCTCCACCTTGGTGGAAGTCTCCAGGCAGAAGTGCCCAGGCTGAGTAGATGAGTGCATGGCCCAGAGTGACTGTGGTGGGTCAGGACCACCTGCAAGTAGAAGGAAAGAGAGGATGGGGGGTTGTCTGGGGACCAAAGGCTCCCCTGAAACTCACAATCCCATTTGATGTTGGTGTGCACCCCAGCCCCGGGGGCAGTGCACAGCACTTGGGTTTCACTCCTGGGTGCTGTTCCTTTGGCTTCCTCCCTGCGTGCACCTGCAGCCACCTCCCGCCCTCCGAAACGCGGCAGTCCTGCCAGCTCGGAGCGGTGCACGCGGGTCAGAGCAGGGTCAGTGGGACGGATGTGAGTCTTGGCCTCTCCCTCGCAGTGACTCACCTTTTCAGCTCGGAAGGGAGAGCCCAGGGGAATTCTCCACAGCCTAAATATAGAGCGGGGTTGCCTGGCGCTTCTGACGCTCTGCAGTGCAGAAAGGCCACTCGGGTGGCAGGGAGCCTGCCTAGAGAGAGGCTGGGGAAGCGCAGGGAGGTCGAGGAGCCAGCTCCCAGAGCGGGGTTTTGCTCCGGCTGGTGCAGAGAGCAGGTCTGGGGAGCTTGCAGGCCAGCCAGCACGTGCTATGCCAGGGGAGAGGGGCTGCCAGAGAGCTGCTGCTGCGCTGACCACACCATGAGCACAGGCTGCTTGTGTGTTTGTGGCACACAGCTCTCCCCGGTGCCCACCACCCTGGCTCCTTCCACCAGCTCACCCCATTAGGGCTGGCCATGCTGTGGCCTCAAGCTCACATGAGCAAAACGGAGGCACCACAGCCAGGGAGCACGAGGCAGCAGCGGGATCCTCTGCAGCCCAGCATACCTTCCAGCATCTCCTTTTCCTGGGAGGGAGCAGTGGGGAGGCCCTGCCCCACCGTGCTGCTGTACCCTCTGTGCGGGCGCTGGTGGGAGAGGGGAAAGGTGTTGGGACAGGGCTATCTGTCTCTATCAAGCAGGGGCAGGCAGGCTGGGCATGGGCAGCACCAGGGATGGGCAAGGTCTTCCAGGCTGCCTGGCAGGGAGGTGGCCGCAATGCTGAGCTCCAGCGGCACCAGCACGGCGTGTGCCGTCAGTCCAAGCGTGCGTCACACGCAGCGTTAGGGACTTGTCCTTCAGTGCAGCCGACCCAGGCCACTACCCAGCCCCTCTGGGCACCAGCTCCTCACATGGGGACTCGCTCCAGAGGCCAGTGGGCTCACCGGTACTGTACCAAGCTGAGGTGCAAGAACTCAATGAGTTTTTAAAATTAGTTTTAGTTTCTGCGATATTTTTTAATTTCCCCTCTAGGCAGGGAGGGCAAGAGTCTTGCAAGCTCCTCCAAGCCAGCTTATGTCACATTGATTCAGTCATATCACAGAAGCAATAAAGCTATCAAACAAGCTTGGCTGGCTTCTTTTTTCTGCTGCCTTCGGCCTTCTTTGGGGGAGGCAGAGGGCTTCCCCTGCTCAGGCTGGCCCCAGCCTGGTTTCAGTTCTGACTCCTCCAGCATGGTAACCCAGAGGCAGCTGCAGCTGGCCGATGCCACCAGCCTGGTGCTGGGGACAAGAGAGGGCTGTGCTCCTCCTTGCTGGTGACCTGAGGGGTGGGAGAGGGGCTCATGGGGTGGGTGCAAGTCATGTTGGAGGCAGAGGGGTGGGGGCTTGTCCTGCCGGGGATGGGCTGCCTTGCGACTGCCTGCTCTCAGGGAGTCCCTGCCAGCGGGGTGGCTTCCAGCCAAGGGTCACAGCAGCAAGTGCTGGGGACAAGAGAGGGCTGTGCTCCTCCTTGCTGGTGACCTGAGGGGTGGGAGAGGGGCTCATGGGGTGGGTGCAAGTCATGTTGGAGGCAGAGGGGTGGGGGCTTGTCCTGCCGGGGATGGGCTGCCTTGCGACTGCCTGCTCTCAGGGAGTCCCTGCCAGCGGGGTGGCTTCCAGCCAAGGGTCACAGCAGCAATCGGACTGGGTGCGGCCCCGGCGAAGGTAGGGGGCCCGC